ACCCCTGGATGGAGGAAAAGTACTTCCAGAGAAGATGCCACATCTACATATGAGACAGATAAGGCAAGTGAAAATGATACCACACCTCGGTACTTAGAAGTTTCGTGATTACTTAGCGACTTGGATCTTGCAAGTCCCCAACCGAGGAGCTTCCCTCACTCGGGAGCTTAAGGGAGCACTGTTTGTACCATACTTGACCAATCCCGAAACTACTGAGCACCGGTCAACGTTATACCGTCAAGGACCCAGAAGAGCTTCCCTTCAACCAGGAGGCCAATCACAATGCGACACGTGTCGACATCAGAAGCCAATCACAGCACGACATGTGTCAACATCATAAGCCAATCACAACACGACACGTGTCAATGTTATAACAAAACTAGAAACTCTCTTCTATAAATAGGGATCATTCTCCCACAATAATCTCTAATGTCATTTTGTACTAAACTATTCACTAGAACTCACAAAAGGAGAGCTTGAACCTATGTATTTGTGTAAACCCTTCACAATTAATGAGAACTCCTCTACTCCCTGGACGTAGCCGATCTGGGTGAACCACGTACATCTTGTGTTTGCTTCCCTGTCTCTATTCATTTACGTACTTATCTTCACTAGTGATCGAAGCAACCAAGCGAAGGTCACAAAACCTGACACTTTCTGTTGTACCAAAGTCCTCGCTGATTTTGTGCATCAACAGACAGTATGCTTTTTGAGCAAATTCTCGACAAACTTGAACAGTGAAATGGACAAATCAATAGGTCATAGGAGATGAATGAAATTTCAAATTAATTTACCATGAATGGATTAATGAAGAATCAATAGAAACGGTAAACATGGTAGTCATACATATTAGGAAGCTATCCATCTATAAGCCAGCCCTCATTAATTCATCCGCTTCCACTATTCTTCTAGTGACTGATAAAGAAAGCGAAGCTGCCAGCTCTGCTGTAGTTCCTGTAAGTACTCCCTTACCATATGAGCAATAAAGTCTTTTAAAAGGAATCCTAATTTTCTCAACATAAAAGAAAACTATAAAAGCATTACTAATGACTATATCTGCAATCATGTTGGTATTGATAGACTTGCATGTTTTAATTTATTGCCATTGTCATAAACTTGGTGTTTTCCTAAAGTATAGTGCTTCAAATGTTGAAAAGTTAACATGGTTTTCACACAGTAAGCAGACAACTTCAATCTACATTTCCTTCCATAATGCACTATCAATTAAAGTCCTACTCAAGACTAAAATTAAAAATCCTATTTATACAATGCCAAAATATGCAGATATTCAAGTTGAATAAAGGGTTTATTTAAAAACTAATATTACTATTTTCTTAATTTATACAATGCCAAAATCAAATATGCAGATATTCAAATTGAACAAAAGGGTTTATTTAACAACTGATATTACTATTTTCTTAATGAGGTGTGAAGAAATAGCTATTGATTTGGCAAACAATGAAATGAATGCTATTTAAAAACTGATATTACTATTTAGAGTGCCTTACTTTTCAATATCTATTTTCTTAATGCTAGAATTTAGAGTGCCTTACTATTTTCTTAATGAGGTGTTAATGAGGTGTGAATAGTATTCAAATATCTATTTAGAGTGAGGCACTCAATATCTATTTTCTTACTGTTCAATATCTATTTAGAGTGCCTTACTATTTTCTTAATGAGGTGTGAATAGTATTCAAATCACTATAATATCTCAAATCATATTGAACAGTAAGGCACTCTAAATTCTACTTCTTAAAAACTCCTTTTGATTTGGCAAACAATGAAATGAATGCTAAAATGAGTTGTGAAGAAACAACTATTGTATTATAAGTCACTTCTAGCAGTTAAACGAATTATATCAAAACTGGATGATTTCTCACATCTAGAAACATGAAATAATTAATGTTAGAAATACTAATCAAAACGTGTTCATACCAACAAGCAAAATTGAAATCACTAATCTGTATATTATAATAAAGTAATGAAGTTTTGAATATATTTATGTTTATTGCAAACTCAAGTACAACACAATCAAAGATAAATGGAGTCCAAATCCTAACCTTGGTCCACAATCATTTCAACAATATCATATGAAAAAGCCAGATCAGACTTGTTCGAAAGAGTCAGCACTCTCCTTGTATTCATATAACTTAAAAACATCTGCCATATCAATGTATGTATCCATTTTAGTTTCTATTATCTACACATTTGACTTAAGATATGCTAATATTACTGTCAATTGAAAATCGAAAAATTTCAAGCATATGAGAATTGGCCAATGCAACACTGAAGGTCCCCTCAGACTGAACAGAAAGCTTATTCCAAGAAGTTACCTTATTTTTTGAATGCTTATTCTTTACATATAATAAGTCAGTAACCAAAGTCATCACAAAATAACACTCTCTATCATAATTAAAATAATAATATAATAGTAATAATAGCAGAAGCCTTGGCCCTGAGCATGCTGCTTGGTAATATGCATTAGTTGGCCCTGAGCATGCTGTTAGTTGGTTATATGTATCAATTGTCAGTCGTTCATATGTTGATTGTAAATTTTTTATTGTTCAGTGATGTCATGTTTACAAATGGAATTAATTGAAAATTGAGGAGAACTCTTTCTCAACTACAAAGGATGAAATAAATGAAACAAAAACTAAATAGAAATAATTTTGCTTGTCCCAAAACAAATTTTGGATCAAAGCACAATGGAGAAATATGAAAGGAAAACTAACTACTTGTACTCAATTGTTTAGGTGGGTGCCCCAGAAGTGGAGAGATTTTCCAGGGCATTTCAAAGATACCCAAATTTCAATATTATTATGGATCAAACAATGCAATGAACACACACATTGCATATACAATGAGGACATTACAGAGTACATGATCATCGAGAGAGACCAACAAAGGCGATTGGTTACTTGACCAAGAAATATATCGAATCAAAATTCAAATGGAAGGCTTCACATCAACCGACATAAACAACTAACAATCCAAGGGTACTGATATAGCTACAACGGGAACGACTCCAAAACCCAGAACTTCAAACGTAAAATTAAAAAAATTCATCAAAATTTGACTACAACCCAATTATATTAAATCACAAATTTGATGCATATTTGGACATGAAAGAGATCTAGAAGGTACCTGAGGTGATGGACAATGGTTTGAGACCAACCTTGATGTTGGACGTTGCCAGAATTGTCTGATTCATGTCGGAAAATTCAAACTCGAACCAAGCTCATAGGTTCTAGGGAGATGATGTTGTGAAAAGCGTGTCAATTTCCCCAAGAAAAAGCGGAAATCTACAATCGGACACACGAAAAGAAGAAAATGATGAACTATTAAAGCAAAAAACAAAATGTTGAGAGAGATGAGAACGGACCTTGGAATCGAGGACACATGGGGGAATTCCGCCGAAGGTTGGAGTGGAGGAGGAGCAGAAGGATGGGTGGTGGGTGGTGGGTGGTGGGTGGCGTCTTCCTTCGTCTTCATCCAAGGTAAGAGAGGGCAGCTGTTTTCGTATGCCCTTTGAGCAGAAGGTTTTCACTGGAAAGGTAGTCGAATAGGAAGGAAGAAGTGAGGAGGAAGGGGAGTGCGATCTCACGTGTCAAAAGGAATGTGGCAGACTTGTAATAACACAAAATGAGCAAAGGTAAAACAGGAAGAACACTGTGTTTATAAACAATGTTTCAGTTGATTTTGACTTTTAGTATAGATTGAATTTAATTGAAACTTCCAAACAATTATGCATGGGTTTCATAAAATATATTAATTGGTTCACAAGTTGGGCAACAAACAATAAGAATCGGCTGCGCAACTTGACCTTGACAATTTAATAAATAAAGCCTTTTGTTTTTTCTGTTTTTCTTCTTTTTGTGAAGAAAAAATTTATTAAAAATGAAGAATGAAAAACGCGTTACTTCGTTGCCATTGAATTTCCGATTACATTACTGGAAGAAGACATGAGAACACACATAAAGCATTTCTCTTTCGTTTTGGGTATATCCTTTTTTTTTTTTTTGGGTATCAAATTTCAACTGATGTTTTATTTTTTAAATATATTGTTTGGCGGGTTAATTACACATGCACGCATGAGGTTTCTTGTATGTTCACAAAACCCCCTCAATTTTTGAACATATCACTAACACCCTTTGACGTTTTAAAATTATTTCACAAAACCCATTTTATTAGGGTTCCATTAATTTTATGGAAAACTAACGAAAAGTTCAAAAAAACTTATCTTTTAACAAAAAGCCCTTTTTAAAGGTATAATGAATAGTGTCAATTAAAAGTAAAAATGTGGTTTTTCGTTAAAAATAAATAGTAACGGGAGTGTTTTGTTAAAACTCCCTTAATTTTATGCTGACGTTAACATAAAATAATTTTGAAATGGCCAAACACCTTGATTACCAATCTCCTAAGTTGAATAAAATGGCTTCTCCGCTATCTTCTTCGATTTGTCTCTGAATCCAACACTAAACCGACAACGGGTTTTCTATAGAGTTCTTAAGGTACCTAATGGTGGTGTGAATAAGTTGTGCTTGTTTATGCAGGAGAAGATAAATGATGAGATTTTGATTGATGTTAAAAAGTTACTTGGAAGAGGCTTTCCTCAATTGATTTTGATGAATGAATTTTAAATGGATTTGATAAAGAAATTCAAGAAAGCGGAGAAGACACTGACAGGAGAAATTATAGTGTAGTACAGTAGAGATTAAATTCCACTTGTGTGATAACATGACACATGACAGAATTTGAAATGAAGTATCACAAATAACAGTATTTATCCACAGAAAGATCGAAGAAGAGCACAGAGAAGACAGAGTCGATGATTGGTAAATCGGGGTGTTTGTGATATGTTCAAAACCTGAGAGGGTTTTGTGAAAACACAAAAAAACTTGAAGGGGTGTATGTGTAATTAACCCATTGTTGACCTGGCCGGACTTCCATTTTATTAATATTTCATGCAGAGATCGGACCAGTATCCAGCGGTTCTTTGTTTAGGGTCCAAAATCGATATTGTGCCTGTTAATGGCCTCTTTTTCTACTCCTCCTCCTCCTCCTTCTTCTTCCCGTGGTCGTTGGATTTATGATGTGTTCATTAATTTCGGGAGCGAAGACACTCGCAAGATCTTTATCGGCCATCTTTACAAAGCGCTGGAGCAGAAATCAATCAAAACCTTCATTGATGGCGATGATCCGGATCTCTTGACAACTATCCAAGTGTCAAAGATCTCGATTGTAGTTTTTTCTAAAAACTATGCTTCTTCTTCCACGCGGTGCTTAAAACAACTTGTTCATATCCTAGATCATATGGATCCAGAGAAGCATATAGTGGTGCCCATTTTCTACCAAGTAGATCCGTCTCATGTTCGTAAACTCGCGGGAAGTCTTCAACCTGATCACGGTTCTAACGCCAGCATCGAAGAGATGCAGAACTGGAGGTCCGCTCTAACTAAAGCCGCCGGTATATCTGGCTGGGATTCACAAGAGTCTATGTAATTTTGTTTAGCTACTTTCTTTGTTTGAGATTTTCATAGTATTTATTCTGTTGGTATCACAATATTTTGTGTACGTGTTTTACTAGAATATATATGGCTTTACGGCTTATGGAGATTGTGCAATACTGTTTTTCAAATTCCACAGGGATGATGCCAAGTTTATTGAGGACATTGTGCAAGATATTTTTAGTAAATTGCTCCAACTCAGCAATGTTTTCATCAATTTTAGAGGTGAAGACACTCGCCTCAGTTTTGTCGCCCATCTCCACAAAGCTCTGTATCAGAAAGCAATCCACGCCTTCAGCGATCTTGGAGAGCTTAATAAAGGCGATGAGATTTCGAATCTCTTCAACGATATTCAAAAATCAAGTATTTCGATCGTAATTTTTTCCAAAGGATATGCCCAATCCACATGGTGCTTGAGAGAACTGGTCGAAATCCTGGAATGTGTGGACAGAAAAATTCAGAAAGTGTGTCCCGTTTTCTATGGAGTATCTCCATCTGAAGTTCGTAAAATCACCGGTCCTTTTGGGGATGCTTTTTATCGATACAATGACAATTCTCGCTTCGACGTGGAAGAGGTGAAGAGATGGCGCTACGCTCTCACTAGAGCCGCCAATTATAGTGGATTTGATCGCATTCATTCCAAGTAATTTTTCTCTACAAAATGTTAATATTTTTAAGTTCTAATTTTGGCCTTTTCAATCCAAGTATACTATTTTCCATATTGCACAGGAATGATGCCGAGCTTATTGAGAAAATTGTACAACACACTTGGAGAGCCTGCCGTGACTTCGACGTTTAACATATCTTGAATTGGAGCTTGCAGCCGACTGTAATCAAATACCAGAGCTTTTCAGCAAGTTTAAACTACATGGATGAACAATAAATCACAGCTTTGGAATAGTTTCAACTTTCAATAATTTCGTTGAGGGATATTGTGGGTTTCATTGCTTTTGAATAAATAAATTTCTGTAAAACCGTATATGTCAATAAGATGCTGTTATCAAGGACATTCATTGACTGGCTAGGCCATTCAATAGAATATCCTGAAAGCGTGTTTTTAGGGAGGCGAACTTCGTCCTGTAGACAAATCCCAATTTTATGATCGTACCATTACGATTGCGGCATGAAGTGCTTATTACATCTTTGATTGTATGAGTGCGAGTGTGGTAGGGGATTTAGTTTGTAACGGGTTGTGTGGTTGTACTCTTTTCTTTCTGTATCAGAAAAAAGAAAAATTGCCAATAAGGGTCACTATTATGATGACAATATGGCAAATTTGACATGTCTCAAATGTCTAAATCTCTTTGGCTGCTAAAATCTAAGTTTCCTGAGAACTTTTGGAATTTATTAGAAGTGGAGTTTGACAACGACAGGGGTATTCTACACTCGTAATAACTACTCACGCCCTCCATTTTACCTTTGTACATGACACGCCCAGACCCTGATATTCCTTAAATACCAGGATAGACACGTGCTGGCCGACACCCGAGGGTGACGAAAACCATTAATTGATACAAAAGCTAAGAATAAGAAATAAATACGGGTTATAAATTTAAAAACAATGAGTTAATAATTTAGGAACGTGCTCAGAGCATACAACTAAACCTAATCACTAAAAAGAATTAAGATAAAATTTAATGAATAAAGAAGTGGGTCCTACATCGAGAGGACTCAAATATGCTGCTGCGGAAGTGTCTTGACGCCGGGATTAGGTGCCTTGATTCTGAGTCCTGAATGGGGGCACAAAACAAAGGTGAGTGGACCAAGTTTATATATATAATAATAATAATAAAACAGTTATCAACATACTAACCCTCAAAGTTTATATAATGAAAACTACTAGCATAATAAATGATGGATTTAATAAAAATCCTAGCATGCCAAAAATATCTCAAAAGCCATATCGCGGAATAACATCGCGGAAATCAAACAGTAAACGCATCATAAATCGTCTCGTAAGCGCGGTGTGCTGCTAGTAAGATCACCGAATAAATATAACTCCCGGCCCAATGCCTGCTCCGTGGTCTCTGCGCCCGTAGCCAGAGATTACCAACTCCCGGCCCAATACCTGCTCCATGTCCCTCAGCCCGTAGCTAGGAATTATTTCTCCCGGCCTAAATGCCAACACCAGTTCCTCGCCCCAGGCGGCATAGTGTCTACTAGGTACGCACAAATAGTTACGTCTCTCTTAAATAACCACTTCATAGCATAGGTTACCGATCATCGTCTACACTATAAAGAGGGGTTCAAAAACATGTTCTAGCATCCTATCGTCATCTATCATATAGTCTACCAGTTCATGGTTTTTATAGAAAATACGATATATTAAAATATAGCTCAAAATAGGCTAACAATTAATTCCTCACCAAAACACGAGACGATAATCAATATCTTAAATCATCAGGCTTCACATAAATCAAATCATAAATTCGTAGGCATGCTAATCATTTATGCAATTACTATAAAATCATGTAATTTTAGAAAGGGTCCACTCACAGTACTTAGTTGCCAAAAGCTGCGCCACTAGCGAAGATGGAAACGTCACAATAATTGCCCCTAAGCACATTAAATGGTACAATTAATAAAACTATATAATAGCAATTGAATTTTGGAAAACGGACATTGGAAATGGATTCAGAACGTCGAATTACCTTAAGAAGGATCCCGGACGAAAACCCAAAAAGTCAACCCTAAAGTCAACGTTGATCGAGGGTCAACGGTCAAATTAGGTCTAACGGGTTTTAGGCTTGAAATCCGGATTAGGGTTTAGGTTAAATAGGATTAGGACCTATTGGGTTTTGAACTAAATAAAATAAGGGAATTGGGTTGGATGGGTTAGGCCCTAATAGATTTTAAGAACCTAGGGTTTTTGGGTTAAAAGGGTTTTAGGGTGAAAAAGGGTGGTCTGGGCTTAAGCCCAAACTCACACACAACACACACATACTCACACATTACACAAACCCTAAAACGCGCGCACACACACAGGCTGCACTAGGGCAGCCCTCACAACACTTCACAAAGGCCCTAAGGCCTTATTAAAGGGCTGGGCTTAGAGCCCCTTAACCAAAAACCGGCCCAAGGCCATTCTAAATAAGGCCCGTGGCCTTTGGGGTCTTTAAAACAAAATAACTTAAAAATAAAAGGGTGTGGGCTGGGTTACTGGGCTAGGCCCGGGGGTTCTAATGGCCTGAAAGGCCTTGTTGCTGAGGAAGAAGGCCGGAGATTCGGCCGGAAAACTACCCGACTTTAAACGGCCATAACTTTGTCAATACTCAACGAAATCAAGCGAGAAAAAAACGAAAGTTGTATCCCTTGAAGAGACAAAGAGAATGGTACCTCACACGACATCTAACTCGCTGTGGTTTGGCCGGAAATTTCCTCGAAAGCCTCGGAGGTCGCTTGGAAACTGGGTAAGATTCAAATGAGTATAACTTCTTCAATACTCAATGAAATTGAGTGAAACCAAAAGGCAAGTTATAGTACTCGACGAGACGAAGAGATTGATACCTTGCACGCCGGCCAACTCGCAGTGGTTTGGCTGGAAATGGCCTCGAAAGCCGTCGGACTCGCCGGAGGTTATTTTCTTGGTTTCGCCGAATTGCGCAGAGGCAAGAGGAAGAGGAAAGGGACGAGGTTTAGATGGTGATTGTGTCTTCCTCGAGCAGGGAGTGCAGCTGGGTGTGAATGTGATCATAGAGAAGAGAGGAATAGAAGTATACGGGAAAGGGAAGAAGGAGAGGAAGAAAGAGAGAAGAGGGCTCGGGGACAAAATCAGGGGGGTGGGTCCCCTTGGCTCACCATTTAAGACCAAAAACAAATTTTAAAAGGAAGATAAATTCCCAAACTTGATGAAAATACAAAAATACCATTTATGTACAGTAAATCTCAGGACGGGTTGTTACAATCTACCCCCCTTAAAAGAATTTCGTCCCGAAATTTAAAATAATTTACTTAATTAAAATGCTCGAAAATAGAAAGAAGAATATATGTATAAAGAGAAATCTAGTCAGAGTGGGTGCATCTAAAGAGAATATGCCACACCGTCGCGAGTGGGTTGCAAAATCCTCTATCAAGCCTCCAAGCTCTTACTTTATTCCTCATCATTGTAAAAGTAAAAACATACTTTATAAAGATAAAGGTCGAAAACACAAAATAGTCTAAGGCCAGATAATATCAAAATAGATATGTACTAATATATACATCAAAACTCAAATCAACTTAAAAATGAAAACATAAATACTTTTCCAAAAACATTTGTAACGCCAAAACAATTAACTAGAGTAAATGAAGTTAAAATACTTATACTGAAAATCAAGATTGAAGAATGGGAGTGGGTCTCGCCCAAGAATTCGAAATGTCGCATATTCCGAGAATAGATGTGCCTTTAGGTCGAGTCCCAAGAATAACAATTCCGAATCTGCATCAGCTGCTGTAGACGAATCTTCTTGCCCACTTGCTTAACGAACCCAACAAATAAGCTATCGATATGACAGTCTGCAGCCCGCAATATCGACCTCACATTTGTTGTCTCGATAAGCAAGTAGTAATTTCTCAAATGGTGCAGAATTTCACATATCGTAGGATCGATCCTCCAAATACAAGTTCGCAAGACTTTTCAGTCAACCAGTGTTATCCATGAAAAACTATCGTATCAGGTCGCAACAGTGCCATACCCAAACCAAATAAAACAGAAACTGCCGTCGTAAAACTCTATCCAGCACCAAGCATCCTATCTTCCTCAGTTCTTCCAAATGTGACCAACTACTTCAGAATTTCACCCGTAAATAACCCATTTGAAAATTGTACCTTGGGATTCAAGAGAAGTGGCTACCATGTTAGTAGTAGACCTAAAAGCTCAAACCAAGCAAGCAGAAAAAGAGAAGTCATCTTCCTCAACACGCAGTATCTCTTGGGAACTGTTGTAGTGCTCAATCCACCTCTCCATTTTTGCTTAGTTGCATATTTCTAGTCAACCAAGGTCAAAGTTGGTGGAAAGAAGAACGACTCGCAAATGATCAACCTAAAAACAAAAGAGAGTACACACATTCGAGAGAAGTGTAAAGATTATCCAATTCTCGCTTCGACCGTCCTATAGTGCCATTCCAGAATACACCAAACAGATCTGCTAGAAATGTTTTAACAACCACATACTCATAACAATAAGGTTCAGAAGTGAAGTAGTGGAAATATGCGTCGAGACGAACACATATTGTTGAAAAATAACTGATGTGATGCCTATGAATTCCAGTAAGATGGTGATACAATATGCTGACCTTCTGCACCATAATCTTCACTAGTCTCTTACCAAATGACAACTCAAACTTCACACCCACGATGAACTCTTTATGATAAGTCTGGTAAGCTTGTGAAAAGATTATGCTCCCAACATTCATGTCCAAATCGATAAGAATTGGGCGCACACTTCCGCCGAATCGATCGATTGTGAATTCCTCACTGCATAAGTAAGAATCCACGTCGAGAAGGCTAAAAGAACACTTAAGAATTTGAGGATCAAAACAAGTCCATTAAAATATGGAGTACAAGATATCGAGATTTGAACTAGAAACCATGCCGAGAACAAACGTTTTTTTTATTTTTTTTTATTTTTACCCTCATGTAATGTTCCGGCATGATCCAGTTTCATATTGAGAGACGAATAAGCAAAGGAAGGTGAAGATGCAGAAATAGAAATAACTGTTTATGATTATTTTGCAAATCATCACAGTATGGTCAACTCGTTTCTTTAGCAAAAAAAAGAAATAGGTCCAAACTCAGGAATATTTAAGAACTAATAATAAGATTTGATGAGGCCAAAGACAATTTGAAATTCACAATACCTTGTGAGAGCTGCTTCAAAGTTCAAAAAATAAACATAGAACCTCTGAATCAGCAGAATGACGAAGAAGAAAGATACAAAACAGCCTGCATATGCATGCAGTGACACAATTGGCTACCTTAAAGTGATGCTCTTGAGCAAACCAAAGCTCAATGAATCCAGAGAAGTTTAGAGTAAAGTTCGATCTTCGTACAATGATGAATATGATAGAGTCTCAAGCCATTACACTGAAAATTACAAGGCTGAACAGCTAGGCTGCAAGTAAGAGACTAAGTTCATCCTCGCCGAAAAGTACGTGAACGAGGAACTAGGGTTTACCACCAAGTACTAAACCCAGGGAATCTGTTCATCCAAACAAGACTGGATATTCATCATCCAAGTCCAACTACAACAACAACAAGAATTGCAACTCTTTTTGGAAATTAATGAGAATAACGTCTGCTACTGAAGAGTTTCCAAAGATTTCGATGTAAAGCCGACTTCGCCCGCAATTCCTAGGGAACGCATGTTGCAGAGTGGCATCGCCATTTCGAATCTACGGCTGGTCTTAACCAGAACTCCTCAAATTGAGATTTCTAAAACACGTCGATGAGTATCGATCCGATGTTTAAAGTCGTCCAACAATTCACTTCATCACTGTTGAGGCATAATCCCGACACAAATTCTTGTATTTCAACCAGAAAGTGACAATTCAATCAGAGAGAGATTTGCACAACTGCACCGACTGGCACAAAATCCGGAAGTCGTGACATCCAAATTATGTCAAAACCGACACTTAACGAGAATAGAAGAGAATCCTAAGTATGCTCTGAACAAATCACGCTCTGATACCAATCTGACACGCCCCGACCCTGATATTCCTCGAATACTAGGATAGACACGTGCTGGCCGACACTCGAGGGTGACGAAAGCCATTAATTGATACAAAAGCTAAGAATAAGAAATAAATACGAGTTATAAATTAAAAAACAATGAGTTAATAATTTAGGAACGTGCTCAGAATATACAACTAAACCTAATCACTAAAAAGAATTAAGATAAAATTTAATGAATAAAGAAGTGCGTCCTACATCGAGAGGACTCAAATATGCTGCTGCGGAAGTGTCTTGACGCCGGGATTAGGTGCCTTGATTCTGAGTCCTGAATGGGGGCGCAAAACAAAGGTGAGTGGACCAAGTTTATATATATAATAATAATAATAATAAAACAGTTATCAACATACTAACCCCCAAAGTTTATATAATGAAAACTACTAGCATAATAAATGATGGATGTAATAAAAATCCTAGCATGCCAAAAATATCTCAAAAGCCATATCGCGGAAATCAAACAGTAAACGCATCATAAATCGTCTCGTAAGCGCGGTGTGCTGCTAGTAAGATCACCGAATAAATATAACTCCCGGCCCAATGCCTGCTCCGTGGTCTCTGCGCCCGTAGCCAGAGATTACCAACTCCCGGCCCAATACCTGGTTGCCGAGGAAGAAGGCCAGAGATTTGGCCGGAAAACTACTCGAATTTAAACGGCCATAACTTTGTCACTACTCAACGAAATCAAGCAAGACAAAAACGAAAGTTGTAGCCCTTGAAGAGACGAAGAGAATGGTATCTCATAAGACGTCTAACTCGCCGTGGTTTGGCCGGAAATTTCCTCGAAAGCCTCGGAGGTCGCCGGAAACTGGGTAAAATTCAAATGAGTATAACTTCTTCAATACTCAATGAAATTGAGTGAAACCAAAAGGAAAGTTATAGTACTCGAACGAGATGAAGAGATTGATACCTTGCACGCCGGCCAAATCGCCGTGGTTTGGCCGGAAATGGCCTCAAAAGCCGTCGGACTCGCCGGAGGTTATTTTCTTGGTTTCGCCGAATTGCGCAGAGGTAAGAGGTAGAGGAAAGGGACGAGGTTTAGATGGTGATTGTGTCTTCCTCGAGCAGGGAGTGCAGCTGGGTGTGAGTGTGGTCATAGAGAAGAGACGAATAGAAGTATATGGGAAAGGGAAGAAGGAGAGGAAGAAAGAGAGAAGAGGGCTCGGGGACAAAATCAGGGGGGTGGGTCCCCTTGGCTCACCATTTAAGACCAAAAACAAATTTTAAAAGGAAAATAAATTCTCAAACTTAATAAAAATACAAAAATACCATTTATGTACAGTAAATCCCGGGACGGGTTGTTACAGTACAAGCTTCAGGATATAGAGAATTGTGGTTACTATATTCACAAAACTCTCTGTTATTCATCGGTATTTTTCTGGAGAAAATCGCTGCTGTTTGAAAACAATTTTGAAAGCGTACCTGCTACTGCCAGAATGAATCGATCGTCATTGTTTAACACGCGTGAAATCTTGCAGGAACCTCTTTCAACAATTCATCAAAATTGGGTCTGTAACTGTAAGTATAATTCATCAACCATGTATCTTTGTATGCTTGCTTCTTTATGTAACCATAAAATAAAATGATTTATTTATGATAAAAAATACGTCATTGTTTAACACGCGTGAAATCTTGCAGGAACCTCTTTCAACAATTCATCAAAATTGGGTCTGTAAGTATAATTCATCAACCATGTATTTTTGTATGCTTGCTTCTTTATGTAACCATAAAATAAAATGATTTATTTATGATAAAAAATATGCCTTTTGTTAAAGTTTGGAAACATAGATCAGGGATTAAGGTCACTTTATTAACTGTGATTATATTTCTTAGCCAGTTAGACGGTCTAGATTTCATATGTCACACTCACACTTCTGTCTAGCCAATTTCTCCAGTTATTGGTAGAGGACATGTTAACAGAGCTTGACCGAATTAAATTTAATATGCTGAATATTTCTTTAATTGATCATTTCCAATGTTACAATATACAAGTATTTATAAGAAGGAACCCTATAATTGACTCCTATGATTTATACAATTGATACAAAATAGGAAAGTAAATATCTAGCTAATTGATACAATCAACACTAAGTAAGAAGGTAATCATTCCAACATATTTGCTCAAATCAACGTTGATTGTATGTTAACTAGGCAAATATCTTGTATGATTGTTAACTTTCTCAACACTCCCACTCAAGTTGGAGAGTGAATATCATGAACACCCAACTTGCACAACAAAGAACAAAAGCGTTCCTTGCCTAAGGCCTTGGTAAAGATGTTTGCCAACTGTGATGTGGATGGAACAAATCCGGTGACAATCTTTCCTTCCATAATCTTATCTCGAACAAAATGACAATCAATCTCAATGTGTCTTGTTCGTTCATGAAACACGGAATTGGCGGCAATATGGAGGGGTGCTTGGTTATCACAAAATAGGGTGGCTGGCCCTTGATTTTTAATCCTCAAATCCTGAAACAAGTTTTTCAGCCATGCTAGTTCACAACACATTGCTGCCATAGATTGGTACTCTGCTTCAGCTGACGACAAAGATGTTGAGAAAAAAATTTGGAGTACACAACTCTAACACAAGTGTTCAAGAGACAACACAAGTAAACAAATTACTTGTATTACACACACAAAATATTACAACTAGTTATCTAAAAAACGCCCTAGGCGGCCACCTAGGCGCTGGGCGGGCACCAACCGAGGTGATTTCTGGCAAAACGGATTGAAAAATCGGCCGAGCTCTAGGCGGCCGCCTAGGCGGGCTAGGCGGTGCTAGGCGGTTGGGCGGAACTGGACCGTTTTTTTTTTTTTTTTTTTTTTTTTTCTATTCTAAGTTTCAACTTCTAGAATTCTATATTCCCGTGACCTAATTGAACTCCTCTGCACTGCTGCGTCTCTTCTTCGCCGTTCGCCCATTTCGTTTCTTCTTCGTTCTTCCTCATCTGCACTGCAACCTGCACCGCTGTAAGACTTCATCTTTTCCTCGGTTCTTCCTCATTTGCACTGCACTCGCTTGCTGCACCGCTGCACGACTTTGTGTCTTCTTCTTCCTCATCTGCTGCACTGCACTCACCTGCTGACTTCGTGTCTTATTCTTCTTCCTCATCTGCTGCACTGCACTCTGCTGCACTGCACTTTGCAACTACAGTCAACAACGAAGACTGCGAAGCCCCCAAAAAGTGAGTTTTTGTTCTACAAATTTCAAATTTGTAAATGTTGAATTTGTTAAGGTATTGGAAAAAAAAATTACAAAGTTTTGGATTTGAAACCAATTGTATTGAGGGGAATCTGACAATCTGTTAACTTATTTGTCTACTGATACAATGATAATTGAAAGAAATTCTGATAGTATTATTTTCGTGCTGGTTGTTTGCTAGATCCAGGTGCACATCTTACTATCTTAGATTCTTAGCCTAATTTTGTATCAATTAATAATTATATATAGATGCATGCGAGGAGCCAAGCTGCATATATTTATAAACACAAGAACATGTCTGTCACAATTGTTTGTATAATTGGGTGTCTATATGTGTGTATAAGTTGATTACGCATGCCGCATGCGTTTGTCTATCACTACTGGGACATTGTACCCTTTTTTAAATTTTCACAGGTGTCTCCCACCTGGATTCATGCATGTATGGTAAGCATGCTCATCTATGACCAAACCTATGTATGAAAAAAATTTATGGGAGGTATAAGATTTGATCTCACCTTGGCGGATTTCCTTTCGGCCAAAAGTTTCATCATACCCATTTCAGCTTCTTGAGGTGGCAGATTCTTGAACTGTTTTTCCATTTCATTTAGTTATACTTCTGAGTTCTGATCATCAATCTGAGTTGGCTAACTTGGCTTATAAGTTAATATACTGTGATAATTTTTTGTGGGAGATTAATACCTAAAAGTTTGTAATGTTTATTTTATATGAATTTTAGGATTGTTTCTTCTCTTGTCTTGTGTGATGATGACTGGTACTTTATCTTCTGGAGCATCTACTACAATGTCATCCTCCTCCCAATCTGAAAATGTGTTGAAGCGTAGCTCGGAAGATGTGGGATGGGAATATGGGATCTTGGCAAATCCTACAAACTCAGATAAGGTGAAATGTAAGTTGTGTGACAAAATCATTAGTGGTGGAGTACATAGATTAAAACAACATGTAGCCAACATAAGGGGAAATGTAGCGGCATGCACAAAGTCTTCGGATGAAGATAAAGCCAAATGTCGAGCCGTATTAGAAGAAGCAAAAAATAAGAAGAAACAAAAGGATAAGCACATTGTGGAAGTGAGGGAAGAGGTGCAACTTCAACAAATTCAAGAAGAAGAAGACATTGAAGTGATTGGGTTAAGGAAAAGGCCTCGCACTCTTGGACCTATGGATAAGTTTGCATCCTCCATCAATCTCGATTCTTCAAATGAGGGAAGTAAGAAGACTCGACAACAAAACATCTATGATGCAATTTGGAAAGAAAGAACACATCAAGTGGATCAATATCTGGCTCGATGGGTGTATGAAGCCGGTATTCCTTTCCATGCTATTGATAATGATAGCTTCAAGTGTGTGATGGAAGCGATTGGTCAATTTGGCCCGGGTTACCTACCTCCAAGCCAATATGAATTAAAGGAGCCATTATTGAAAGAAGAGGTAGAAAGAGTAAGAAAGTCACTCAAGAAACATGAAGAAGAGTGGGCTTTGAATGGTTGCTCAATCATGACCGATGCTTGGAGTGACCAAAAAAGAAGAAGCATAATGAATTTATGTGTCAATTGCAAGGAAGGCACCATATTTCTTTCTTCTAAGGAATGCTCTAGTGAAGCACACACCGGGGAATATATCTTCGAATATGTTGACAAGTGTGTTGAAGAAATTGGGCCTCCAAATGTAATTCAAGTGGTAACCGATAATGCTTCTAACAATATGGCGGCAGCAAACATGATGAAAAAAAAGAGGCCGAATATGTTTTGGACATCATGTGCCACTCATACTTTGAATCTCATGCTTCAAGGGATTGGTAATCTCCCTAAGGTTCAAAGGAGTTATTGACAAGGCAAAGGCTTTCACTATCTTCATTTATGCACATCATAAAACTTTGGCATTGATGAGGAAGCATACCAAGAAAAGAGACATAATAAGGCCCGGAGTCACTAGATTTGCAACTTCTTTCCTCACATTGCAAAGTTTGATGGATAAGAAAAAAGACTTGAAGGTTATGGTTGCTAGTGAAGAATGGGAACAATGCAAACATGTCAAGACTACAAAGGGGAAAGTGGCATATGCTACTGTATTGAGTTCACATTTTTGGAGTGGGGTCTTACTTTGCTTGAAAGTGTTTGAACCTTTATTCAAGGTACTTCGAATTGTTGATGGGGATAAGAAGCCATCAATGGGGTTTTTGTATGGAGAGCTACAAAAAGCAAAGATGGAGATTAAAGAGACATTCAAGAACAATGAGGCCAACTATCAACCAATTCTTCAAATTATTGATGAAAAAGCTCGTGAGCGGCTTGATAGTCCATTGCATTTGGCGGGCTACCTCTTGAACCCTTATTATTTCTTCAAAAATCAAAGCATACAACATGATCCAATTGTCATGGAGGGGATCTTTACTTGTGTTGAGAAGTTCTTCCCCGATAACTATGAGGTTCAAAACCAAGTGATAAATGTTGAGATGCATAAGTATAGAGTAAAAGAAGGTGGATTTGGAAGACATTTGGCCGAACTTGGATGCGCTGAGAATGATGAAAACTATAATCCGGGTATGAATATTCACATATGCTTATATTTTATTTATTAAATTTGAGTTTACTACTTATTTTTCATTACTAATTGTGTGTTTTTTTTTTCATTAGTTGCATGGTGGTATAATTATGGAAATGGTGTGCCTAATTTGCAAAGGATGGCTATAAAGATACTTTCATTGACTACAAGTTCATCCGGTTGTGAAAGAAAGAAATTGGAGTTCTTTTGAAGGTATACATACAAAGAAAAGGAATAGACTAGATACAACAAGGTTAAATAATTTAGTCTATGTCCAATTTAATGCAAGGATTATGAACAAGAAGAAAAGAGAGAAGGAGAAGAAGGTGGACATATTGCTTGCAAGTGAAGCTAGTATGGCTCAAGGATGGATTGTGGAAGGTGGTGATGAAGAGCTTGAGCTTGGCTTGGGAATTGGAGAGACAGACATCGGAAGTAGGTAGTTCCCTAGAGCCTAGGGGGAGTTCTAAAAAAATATTGAAGTAAGAGAACTTCATGAAGAAGATTTTATATCGGATGAGGACACGGAAGAAGAAGGAGATGATGAAGAAATTGAGTTCGAGTCCGACACGGAGAGAGTCTTTGAGGGATATGGTGAAGAAGAGTTTAATGCCTAATAACTTTCGTAGCTCAATTTTCTTTTATATCAGTGTCTGCATGTGTAGCATTCGAACAGTTGACTCGTTGTTAATTCTATGAAATGTATGCCCATCATTCGTACTCACTGATGTTAATTCTATTATGTGAAATGTTTGTGCAACATTTGTACATTTGACTTAGTAGTGTTGGACTTGAATGTTTCAATAGTTCTAGTCTTCCATACTTACAAGTTACAAGCAGTGTCTAATTTTGAGAATGCTCATTCATTGGACATAAGATTGGAAATCACATTTCATTTCAGTGGTTGCAAGCACTGCCTTGTTCTCAAGTATACCATATGATTATTACTTCATTTGTTGAAAGAAATATTTCTTTTGTACATTTTCTACATGTTTTGTAAGTGTCAATATACACTTATTCACAGGAAATACAAAAAATTTACCTAAATCCGCCTAGCCGCCTAGGCGCTAGGCGCTAGCCCACCGCCCGACTAGCGCCTAGCGTTTTTTAGAACCTTGATTACAACACACAAATTCTCAAGGACACTCTTTTAGAAGCTATGACACTCACTCTTTCTAGAGACAAACTCTAGACCACTCACACTCCTACAAGACTACTTTTACTTCTCACTCTCACTTGGTTGCTTGCTTGATTCTTACTTGATTGATTGGTTCAAATACACCCATCTTATATTTATAGGCTTGCTAACCGACTTACCTAGAAGGTGAAATTGGATTCTTCCATTTTAACCACATGTTTTGTGATGGTTCTAGGCTTTTCTACAAACCATTTTTCTAGATTTTCTTAGCCTAAGGCGGTGGACTTCCAAACACCAATTGTTGCACTTTGCTAGAGTTTTCTAGCATATTTTCATTCATGATTCCAAATGGGCTGGACCTTAATTATTGGGCTGGTGTTGTACTTTTAACAAAAGATACCATTTTCTGGCGTTTGCTCTTCCATGAGATGAGACAGTTTCCAATAAACACACAATAACTTGTGGTGGATCGTCGGGTAGTAGGACAACATGCCCAATCTGAATCACAATACGCCTTCAACTTTAAATCATTTTGAGAAGGAAACATTATGCCTTGGCCGGGGGTGCCCTTGAGGTATTTCAAAATACGCAAAGCAGCATCATAATGTGGCATCCGAGGAGTTTGCATAAACCTACTCAATAAGTGAACCGAGTATGTATATCCGGCTGTGTAATGGTAAGATAAATGAGACGACCAATCAATCTTCGATATTTTGCAGGATCTTTAAGAACCTCTCCCTCATCAGGAAGTAATTTGAGATTTTGCTCTATTGGACATTTTGCCGGCCGAGATCCTAAAAATCCAACATCATCAAGGATATCTAATAAATATTTTCGTTGTGAAATGAAAATAATTTTCTTGGTGCGCGCCACTTCTATGCCAGAGCTTTCATCAAGTATAAACTTCAAAGATCCTCAACTGGTGGATATAGAGAAATGCAGCGACGCTTTTGATAGAAGGTACAATGTAGAGAGAGAGATTGCAATACATTGTATTTAAATATCATGTTATTTAGCACCTATGTTTTAAAACAGAAGGACAACTTCTAATTCCTGTATCAATCTATTTTTCAAGCTTTTTAAAATTTGCCGGTTTGGTGGATGCTTCAGCTCTGATATCTGTCAGTGGTTCATAAGCTTTGGCTGATGGAGGCAATGTGTTCTCTATAGAATATTGTGTTTATCGGTCGCAAGTCAACAGGCACTGATCCCAGCTCCTTGAACTCGGAGGAAACTTTGGATCCACGCTTTGTTTCTGGGAATATTGTAATCTGTGACAGTTGAATAAGCCTAAAGCGCAGAAGGGACTGGCTGGCGGAGGAGGAAAGATAGATGATTTTGAGGAGGAGGAGAGGACGAGTAGGTATGATTTTGCCAAACACAGCTGCATCGCTTAAGAATGCGGAGTTTCATTCTATATAGGCCAATCGTGAGGTGCAAAACCAAAGCATGTTGCGGCCCCAAACATCATCATGAAAACTCTGAAGCGGAACTTCTTGTTCTTGGCAAAATCACAGGTAGGAGTTGCCACTCAATATTTCAGGTGTGTTCTGTTTCTTTATGTTGCATTTTGTGTTTTTCTTTATGTCTACTCGATTGATAAAAGTAGTATTTCGAATTTTCAGTCAGTGGCAGGTTTCACTCTACAGAGGAAGAATGATGCCGTCAACAAATAAGCAAAATATATACCTGTACGTGTATATACTGGTAGCAATTCACCAAGCCCTGATCCCACTTCCTTGTTTTGGAAGCAACTTTGAATTGCTGTGTTGTTGCCAGGGAGATTGTGATTTGTTACCGTGCGATTAGTTCGGGAGTGCAGAAGGGACGGATGGGAATAGGCATGATCTTGGCAAACAGCTTGCAAATGGAAATGGAAGTTGTGGCAGATTGCCAACTTGTTCCTGCTTTTGACACTTCGCAGAACTGTTACTCTAGCATTATGTTTAACGAGCCCAAGAACCTCTACAACTCTAGCATTTCTTGGGACTCGGTTTGAGTCCGCCTACAATAAAGTCTGCCTTTCATGACAACACGCGTAAGCCTCTGCAAGACGCCTCAACAGCTGCGGTTTCAACCCTGTATGATCACGGTGCACACCTCAATAGTTAGCCTCCTCCCTCGACCTCAGAACAAAATCAAAACAACAATGTGCGTTGAAATGTAGAACTATTCATAATTTCTCAATTCTCAATTGATTTTAGAATATGGGGTGTGCTATCCACACATCCCATTTTACTTCTCACACACACCCCTTGATACTTTCTGTTTGTTGATTTTCTTCAGTTCATCTGATCCGACGTCCGAAAATTAAAAAGTTGTGTGAGAAGTAAAATAGGGTGTGTAGATATCACACCCCTAGAATATAAGAGATCAGGCAAGAAGCTTTGTAGAGTTGCAATAACCTATGGAAGTGACGCAGGACGAAGCAAGAGAGATACAAACGTAAGCCCTTGAAGAATACAATTTTTGGAGTCCACCAGATTTTGGTTGAAAACCCAAAGGTTGTTTTGTTTAATTGATTAACTTGATGCTTGGAAATGAACAACCAAATGGCTTAAATAAATATAGTACATTTGTTGGGACAACTAAAAGGACTAATAACATAAATTTGAAAGACAAACGATGACACGCCCCGATCCCGATAATTCTCCGAATATCAGGATAGGCACGTGCTGGCCGACACCCGAGGGTGACGAAAGCCATTTATTGAGTGCAAATGCTAAAAACAAGGAATTGATAAGGTTTATAATATAAAAGAGTAAAGAATATGCATTTCAGGAACGTGTTCAGAACATACAACTAACTAGAATACTAAAAGAAATAATATAAAAATTGAATGAATAACAGAATGGATCCTACACCAAGAAGACTCGAAGATGCCGATGTGGAAGTGCCTTGACATCGGGATTGTATGCCTCAATTCTATGCCCTGAAAGGGGCGCAAAACAAACATGAGTGGACCAAGTTTATATATATATATATATATATATATATATATATATATAATAAAACAGTTATCAACGTACTAACCCTTAGGTTTTATGAAAACACATATATAATGTTAAACATAGGTTTTTCGAAACCTAGCATGTCGTGCAATGTCTCAAATCACAACTCATATATATAATAATCACTAGTGAATTGTGTCCGATAACCCCCAGGCCCCATGCCAGCTACCCGTCTCTGAGCAGACAGTTAGAGGAAAATACACTTCAGGCCCCATGCCAGCTCCCCGTCCCTGTGCTAAATAGCTAGAGGAAACACACTCCAGGCCCTATGCCAACACCAAACCGTCGCCCGGGACTGATCGGAATCTATCCCTACGTCCCGTAGCGGAAAGGACCACTAGGTAAGTACAAAACCATTGAACATATATATATTGAAAAACAACTTCATAGTATAAAGTCATCCATCATCTATACTATAAAGAGGTGTTCGAAACATGTTCTAAATATCATATCGTCATCCATCAGATATTCTATAAGAACACGGTTTATAGGAAAAATAGTAATAATTCAAAGTAGCCTCAGTATGCATGTTATCTCACAAAACGTTTCATAAAACGTAATCATCAAATCATGCTTTTCATGTATGCATTTCTACTATAAAACATGCATTTTAGAAGGGGTCCACTCACAGTATTTAGCCGCCGAAGAACCACGCAACTAGCGAAGACAGAAACGCTACTACTATAATTGCCCCTAAGCACATAAATGACTCAATTAATAAAACTATATAATAGCAATTGAATTTGGGAAAACGAACATCAGAAACGGATTCAGAACGTCGAATTACCCTAAAAAGGGTCTCGGACGAAAACCCGAAAAGTCAACCCTAAAGTCAACGTTGACCGGGGGTCAACGGTCAAATTAGGTCTAACGGGTTTTAGGCTTAAAATCCGGATTAGGGTTTAGGTTAAATAGGATTAGGATCTATTGGGTTTTAGAAACCTAGGGTTTTTGAGTTAAAAGGGTTTTAGGGTGAAAAGGCTTTAGGGTAAAGAAATGGGGTTTGGGCTTAAACCCAAACACACACACACACGGGCTGCACATGCAGTGCACAGCCCACACAACACACACACACACAGAGGCTGGGCTTGAGCCTTTTAGCAAAAACCGGCCCAAGGCCCTTCAGCATTAAGGCCCGTGGCCTTTTGGGTTTTAAAAACAAATAACTAAAAATAAAAAGGATGCGGGCTGGGGTACTGGGTTGGTCCAAAACGGGCTAAGGCCCGTGGGGTTTTCTAAAGGGCCTGAGAGGCCTGGTTTTGCCGAAGAAGAAGGCTGGAAATTCGGCCGAAAAACCACCCAACTTTAAACGGCTATAACTTTGCCAAAACTCAACGAAATCAAGAGAAACAAAAATGAAAGTTGTAGCCCTGGAAGAGACGAAGAGAATGATACCTCACATGACATCTAACTCGCCGTGGTTTGGCCGAAAATGGCCTCGAAAGCCTCGGAGGTCGCCGGAAACTGGGTAAGATTCAAATGGATATAACTTCTTCAATACTCAACGAAATTGAGTGAAACAAAAAGGAAAGTTGTAGCACTCGACGAGACGAAGAGATTGATACCTTGTACGCCGGCTAAATCACCGTGGTTTGGCCGTAAATTGCCTCGAAAGTGGCTGATTCCTCGCCGGAAATGGGTGTTCCTACACCCGAGTTTGTTTTCATCCTAAAACCTCCAAAAATCACTAAATAATCTCATTTAAAAAAGTCATTCCAGCAAGATTCAAGGACGAAATAGAGATAATTAGGGGCTTACCTAACCGGAGATTGAAAAATCTCGCCGGAGTCCCTTTTTCCGGTTTTCTGGGGTCGCAGGAACGAGAGGGAGAGAGAGAGAGAGCAGGACAAGATGGTGAAAGGTGATGGTTCTTCCTCGCACACTCGTGTGCCTCTGTGCGTGTGTGTGCTTGCGGTGGAGAGAAGGGAGAGAAGTGAGAGTCGAGAGGGAGAGACAGGAAGACAGAAAACGAAAAAGAAAAGGAAGAAATGATGGGTTCACGGGGGGGGGGACAGAGAGAGAAGTGAGGTGAGTGAATGGGGTGCTGCCACGTGGCAGCTTGAGGGAGAAAGAATCCAATGTTAAATTTTTTTCAGATTGGGTAGATAAAATGGGACCAAAATGATATTTTAAAAATATTTTGGGGTAATTACCTACATATATTTTTATAAATAGGGGGTGGGTGTTACAAACGAAATGTCCAAATTTTTATTATAAACTTAAAATTGCATTTTGGAAGCTGAAACGATTCCAAATGGGTAAAATCCATGAGTTTGACTCGTGGCGTCGTTCTCTTTCCTAAAAGGTATCAAGGGCCCAATTCGGAGCTTGGACGTCAAATAGACAAATTTCCACTGTGTCCCCTTGTCTTTTAACAATTCATCTCCTCATTGATCCATTCAACTATTTGTTTTACGTCAGAAAGGTTCATGTTAACGTGTCATCTTGCATCTGAAATTATGAGTTCTAAGAAAGAGGAGAGAGTTACGTTCGATGGTAAGTGCCCATGGGCTTTGGGCCTTACATGTTTCCAAATGACACCAGTGCGCACTTTAGCCCATTCAACCAAGGCCAATATGAATCGCTTTGACCGAGACAGTGAAGAGACAATAGAGGGAGAGAGGGAGGGCGTTGACCTACAATCTTAGCATCCCTCCAATTCAAACAATTTCTGAAGACCAGGTGTTTCACTTTCGTCGGATGTTAATGGCAGCTGCTTCTTCTTGTTCTTCATCTTCATCCGACAGTAGTTTGAAATATGATGTATTCCTGAATTTTAGAGGGGAAGACACTCGCAAGATCTTCATCGGCCATCTCTACAAAGCTCTGAATCAGAAAGCAATCAACACCTTTATTGATGGCGAAAAGCTTCGAAAAGGCAACGACCTTTCGGAGCTCCTTACAGCTATTGCCGACTGAGGCTATCGATTGTAGTTTTTTTCGAAAACTACGCTTCTTCGACGTGGTGCTTGAAAGAACTCGTCCAGATACTGGAATGCATGGATACACAAAAGCAGATAGTGGTGTCTGTTTTCTACGAAGTGGATCCATCCGATATTCGTAAACTTGAGGGAAGGTTTGCAGAAGCTTTTGCTAAACATGAAAGCTATTCTAACGTTGACGTGAAGGAGGTGCAGAGTTGGAGGACTGCTCTTGCTAGAGCCACCAATTTATCCGGTTGGGATTCAAAAAATTATAAGTTTAATTTGTTCGCATGCATTTGCTATTAATGTATTTTTACTGTATAAATCCACGGTTTTGGTCACAACTAACTTCCTTACATATAGATGGCTAAGCGTTCACCAATTTGATTAGTTTTTGCATATTTATCATCAAGAAAATTAACGTATTTTTACTGTACAAATCTGGGGTTTTAGTGACAACAAGTATTGCCCTTCTAATTATTCAGTTTTAGTTTTCTATTTTGGGCTTGTTATAAAACTTAGCTTTGCTTTGACTCTTTCGCGATGCTGGTTCTAAAACTTCACAGGGATGATGCCAATCTTATTGAAGATATTGTAGAGGATATCTTTAGCAAATTGATCCACATCTCATCAAGCAAAGTCGATGGCTTGGTTGGAATGGATTACCACATGGATGAAATGAAGTTACTATTACGTCCTGGGGCGAACGATGTTTTTGCTGTTGGAATATGGGGTTTGGGAGCTATAGGTAAAACCACCAGCGCTTGAGCTGTTTATGATGAAATTGCTTGTCAATTTGAAGCTTGCTGCTTTCTCGAAAATGTTAAGGAAGTGTTGACCCTAAAAACTACCAAGCTTACTTGACGCGCTGGCTGAATAACTAATAAGCTAACTACGTCATTCGATTGTTTGCGGGGCGTGCCAACTCATCGACCGAGGAGTAAAATTTATTGATGTTGCGTTGGGTTGCGCTGCTGACTTCTCGATCTTGCGACTGTGGCCGAGGAAGGAACACTTCTCGGCCTTCGGGTTCTAGAGCCTGAAGACAAGGCTGCTAGTTCTGCGAAGTTCAATATCAAATTTGACTTTCAATGTGCCGAATGTAGTAATCTGTAACACCTCACTTCGCCGAGAAGGCTAATGAGATGACCTCTGCCAATAAAGATTCGAAAATCCTTCTCGACCGAGACTTGGATAGATAACCAGTCGGCCTCGACGCAATGCTGTTTATCCAAACTGAAGGTGCTCCGCGGTCGGCTGATTCTACTGCAACAGTGCTATTTATCCAAACTGAAGATGTTCGCCGGTTGCCTTCACAATGCTATTTATCCAAACTGAAGATGTGTTGGCGAAAAAGAAAATAAAAAATCTCAAGATGTTTGAGAGGTTTCGGGTAGAGCAAGGGTTTGCGCTGGGCAGTTTGTTTATTGAGTTGAAGGTCCTTTGATTTGTGTGAAAGCTTTGTATATGTAGCCGAGTCTCCTTGATCGCCAATCCAAATAAAGTCATTTTCCGAATGTACCCCAAAATAATATCAAAATAACTGATATTATCTTTGACATATTTCGGCAAAAATCCAGTTAGTCTCCTTGCGCCCAGAGACTTTCACTCACAAGAGGACTTTGAACTTTCAAAGTACCCTTATCATTTCAAACTCATCTGACAACATCCATCACCATGCAAAGCAAAAAGCCTAGCCTACCTAGGTTTCCTATGTCATTATTATCCAGGACCCTTATTTTCCTTGGCTTATCACATCCAAAAGCCAAGCCTATCTAGGCTTTTTATGATCTATCCATGCATGTATAATAACCTTCTACCGCATCACGCAACTATTTTCTTATTTCATATGCAGTGCAAAAGCCATCATGACCACATCAGTGCTAGGAGTCCCAATCTAAGCTGGTTCACACGGTGCACTGTTTAACAAATCCAAATTAATTTGGACTGTTCTTTTCGTTTCTGAGCTGGGGCTATGATTTGTATCCCATTTATTTTGTACAAGAAAATCAAGATGATTTATCAAAAGATAATTATTATGATTAAAAACCATAACATTATCTTAAAACAAAATTATCTTAACTTTCTTATATGGCAGTCTAGAACCATGCTTACTCAACGGTCTCGATTGCATGGGCCGATGATGTAATTTTGGGTCCAAACAAGAAGGCGTCTCGAATAATGGTGCAGTACATATACAGGAAGTGCTTCTTTCTAGAGTATTGAAGGAAAAGGTGCAGAGTTTAGGCACGTTGGATCGAGGTTCCAGAATGATAATGAAAAGGCTACGAAGGAAAATAGTTTTCATTGTTCTTGATGACGTTGACAAATTATCCCAAATTGAAGCGTTACTTGGAAAACAACATTCATTTGGTGGTGGAAGTAGAATCATTATAACAACAAGAGATATGCAATTAATAAGTGGAGCCGATGCTGTATATAAGCCCAAGAAATTAAGTGAGCCTGAAGCTCTTGAACTCTTCAGTCAGTATGCCTTCAAAACCCACCAACCCACAAGAGATTATGATCGTCTCTCGAGGCTTGCCATTCAACATGCTCATGGTGTGCCTTTAGCGCTTAAAGTCTTGGGAGCTTTGCTTGATAACAGAAGTGTATGGGAGTGGGAAGATGTGTTGAAGAAAACAAAGAAAACCCAGCTCATGGGAATTCAGGATGTTCGTAGAAAGAGCTTTGATGGGTTAGACAACTCAGAGAAGGACATATTTCTAGATATTGCATGTTTCTTTAAAGGGATGGAGAAAGACTGTAACTAAAATTCTTGATAGTTGTGGCTTTTATCCCCATAGTGGATTAGGAGTACTAATTAATAGAACTCTCATCACTATATCAGATTACGATACGCTTAAGATGCATGATTTACTACAAGAAATGGGGTGGGAAATAGTCCATCAAGAATCTAATAAAGATCCTGGAAGACGGAGCAGGTTATGGATTTATGAAGATTTTCATTGTGCATTAACGCAAAATGCGGTGAGATAAATTCATTACCTCTTTCTTTTAAGCATGTAATATTGAGTAGAAAGCAGAAGTATGATAAAAATCAAATTTGGATATTTTCGCTCATTGAATTTCTACTGTTTGGTTATCTAGGCTACAAAAGCAGTGGATTTGTACTTTGTGCAGGTCGCTTGATGAAAGGGAAAACAATTGTAGACACGTATACTTTGTTGGAGCTGGAAACATCTTCCAATAGACTTAATCATTTAATGCGTTGCCTGATTGGTTTAATACAAGGTTGTAATATATACTCTTCTCTACTTTACCCTCATATAAGCTTCAAAGAAATGTAGGAATGCTTCTGATTCCGGGAATAAAAGGTACCTACTTTTAATGTGAAAGATTTTTGTCACTTTGGCCTTAAATTCTTGATTTAAGTGACTGTTGAAGGTTTCGGATGGTATTCCCCATTTATCTTCCTTGTAAATATATATTAAAGCTTGCAGAAATATTTTTGAGAGCTTATCTGCAACACTTAATCGATTTGTTGTTTAACAACTCTCAAATTGGAAGCTTGCAACTTATAGAGATGCGGGGATGCTTGTGTTGTCTATTGACTATTGTGTATATCCGTAGTAAGTCAACAAGCCCTAATCCAGCTCCTTGAGCTCGGAGGAAACTTTGGATCCACGCTCTGTTGGCGGAAACATTGTGATATGTGACCGTGTGATTAATCGTAATGTGTAGAAGGGACTGGTTGTGAAAGATGGAGAAGATGTACTAGGTATATGATTTTGGCAAACACAGCTGCATCACATCAGAAGATGCGGAGTTCGTTTCTTTATATACTAATCGTGCGGAGGTGCAAACCAAAGCATGGCGCAACCTAAAAAATCATCATGAAAACCCTGAAGCGGAACTTCGTGTTAGTCTGACCAATGTGTCTCCCTGGATAACCACGGTTGGAGCTAACACCATGGATAGGGATTTTCCAGCTACCGTGAAGCTCGAAAATGGCAGGACTATTACCGGGGTTTCGCTCTACAGGGGAAGGATGAAGCTGTCAACAAACAAGCAATACCATGTTGCGTATTTGGGAAGCAATTCAACTAGTCATAATCCGAGCTCGCTCTGTTTGGAGGGGACGTTGGATCTCCGAGTTGTGGCCAGAAAGTTTGTGATTTGCGACCGTGGGATTAATCCTAGAGTGCAGAAGGGAGAAGTGGTGAAAGAAGCCGGATGAGTTGGGATGATCTTGGCAAACACAGCTGCAAACGGAGAGGAGCTTGTGGCGGATTGCAACCGGCACTCTCGGTTGTGTTCCCGGAGAGAACAAATGTTTTTGTTTTGACACTTCATAGAACTGTCACTAACGTTGCCCTTGTTGTTTCGAATTACCACGCCATTGTTTCACCGTTCAAAGGTGCTTATGTGAAAGTCAAGCCTCGGACGTTGAAATTCACCAAAGCCAATCAGAAGCTGTCATACAAAATCATCTTCACTACGAAATCCCGGCAGGCAGTCCCGGAGTTCGGAGGGTTGGTGTGGAAGGATGCAGTGCATAGGGTGAGAAGTGTTGTGCATTGGCCCGCTCGTCAGTGCGAAAACGAGATTCAGATTATAACCTCACCAAATCACACTCAGTTTAATAGAATAAAATACAAGAAATAAAGACACCGAGAAATTTACGAGGTTCGGTAAAAATCTGCGTACGTCTCCGGAGAGATATTGCTCTTCACTATGAGAATAACAGTACAAGTACACATGAGTTAAATCAACATAACTCAATCTTGAATCCCTTGCACACCCACTCATAGAATTTTCCCAAGAGCCTCACTCTACCCCAAGAGTTCTTTTAATAGAATACTTTTCACTCTAGCTCTCTTGATTTTCTCTTAACCCATGTTCAACATTTCCCATGGAATAGCCGAATGCTCTCTCCATCTTGATGCTTTCCTCATACCACATCTCTCACTCTCAATATAAGGCCAAGCCATCATCATTGTGTCTTACATCATCATTAAGCAAAAAACAAACATCATCATTAAAGCAAAAGCAAGCATTATCATTATGTCTTTACTCATGATGATGTCCACCAAACTTTTGCTTTTACTTTGCAGCACTTGTCTGCAACTTTCATGCAACCCACACCATGTGATATTTCCACCAAAAGCAAATACAGGTCACTTCATTGTTGTTAAACACAAATGTATGAGCTAAACACAACAAGAAGCCCCATTGTTGTAGTGTGGCTGCCACCACTATAACTCCTGCACCGGATTAATTTCAATGTGTGTTTTTATTAATGCTCATTTGAATAAACAAATTTTCTGTAATAGTTAGCATCCTTCCTCTGCTTCTTGCTGTAATCTTCTAGCTACTGTCAAGCTTAGAACACGAGCAAAACAACGATGTGTAGTGAAAATGTCACAGCCCGTCCCGAAGTTACATTTGACGGGAATGTGAATTGACGGGATTGCCCCTAGCAGGTGTTAAGGTATGTGTGTGTGACATATTTTGGTCTAAATACATACATTTCTAAGTTTTTGTTTTAAATGGGATTAATGTTAGTATGTATGTTTTGGTGTGATTAGGTTTTGTTTGGACCACACACACACCCAACCTGATCTCCCTCTCTCCTTCCCCGTGCCCTCTCTCTCCTCCTTCACGACACTCTCTCCCTCTCTCCCTTCGAAGTGTACGGACGAGACCCAAAAACCTTCAAAACTCCACGGATCGAAGCTAAAAAGGTATGGTTCTTCATCATTTCGACCTCCTGAGTTGTTTGGTGCTAGTTTTAGGAAGTGAAACCCTCGAAATCACGTTGAAATCTCGAGGTCTGATTTGAGTACTGTTCATGCACACGTAAATTTTTGATTTTCAGGGAATTCTAAGCTTGTAGTGAGCTTAGTGAGGTCCTAAGGAAGCTCGGGGACGTTCGTTTGAAAGTTTTGGACGTCGGGATCGTGTAGTTCGAAGTTGGCCGTTTTCTTGGAATTTCTCCGGTGAGATTTCATAGTTTTTAGAGCCTTAAACTAGTCTATCGTGACTCTACATGTTGAGGGCTTCAAATTGATATAAAATGCGAAGAAAATGGTTGAGAAACGAAGGAGAACAAGGCGTTTGAAAATCGCCCAGTTGTTCGGCCACCGGAAAATTCAGTCTGGCGAACCGAGGTTAGGGATGATGCGCGTGGGGGCACGTGCCACATCAAAAAAAAATTCTAAAAATTTGTCGACGTTCGTGACGTCGAGTAGGTCACTGTGGTATATTCATATACCCAATTTGAGCACCGTATGAGAAGTTATTACGAATTATTGGTAATGTGCTTTAAATAACGTTTTTATAGTTGTTTCGCATATAGGTGACACCTATCCCGAGGACGAGCGTATCCAGGGATGTCACGGGGGTTACGACCCTTCGACTTATCAGAGAGTGGGCAATTTTTATTTTCGTATTACCTATATACTCTTAATTGTCCCAGAAATTGAATTTATATGAAAGTATGTTTTCAATTGCCATGATGCATATTATAAATTATATGAACTGATATTGATGCATATATATAAATGTGAATTGGTGCTGTGGACGCACATGTGAGTATCAGGTGAGTTTATATGGTTTATATGAATGAATGATGATGTGATTACGTTGAGAACTCACAACCTGCACCCTTGGTATTAGTGCTTATAGTATTCACCGCACCGTACACTCACCTTGGATCCAAGTAGGTGCATGTCGTACAGACCATGAGAGGGTTCCGACATGCTAGTCGTACATATCACTGAGGTGATTCCGACTGGTAGGTGACTTTAGATTATGTGCACAGATGATTGATGAGAGAAGCACTAGAGCGTATTTTACACCATTCTTGTCGTACAGACTACTTTAGGTAGTTCCGACATTATGTGCAGTGTAGTGCCGTACAGGTCACTGTGGTGACTTTAGCAGTGCTGTACAGGTCACAGTTTGTGACTCCGGCTGGTTTGGATGTTGGGCTTTATAAATTAACCGTATAGGGCCAATTACAGGGTCTCCGGTTGATTCTTTATATCCTGTCATATTGATGCATCCATATTCTGTTTTGACATTTATAGCATGGCATAGTCTCTGAATTTGAGTTATATGAAGATATGTATACTATTATGTTATTTTCTGGGAAAAAGTATACAGGTTTTACAGTGAGGGGTTAGAATTGTTTTTGGCGAAATGTTTTTGAAAAGCTTTGGTTTTACTGACCCACTCTATCTTATTTTTCGCCCCTCCAGGTTCTAGTTAGTTACGCTGATCACCCATGAGGATTTCTACGGAGTTTTGACAGACTTCTTTAATGTAGGATTCACCTGCGGGTGTTGTATTTTAGTTATGGTCCTACTCGACTGCAACTAGTGTTTATGCTCTGTTTATGTGTGTGTCCACACTTTAATTCACTCTAGCATGTTAGTCGGTTAACCTTTGCTAGTATTTGGTTTTAATTCATTCGTAATTCTTTTAGTTTCTGCTTCCGCACCGCACTTATGGTTACGTCACACTAACGTGACGGCCAGGACCCCTTGATTCTAGGATCGGGGTGTTTCAGTTTGGTATCAGAGTTTAGGTTGCAATCCTGTATAATTGTTAATGTTCTAATGGCCTTTGGTGTCTTCTGTTAGAACCATGCCGCCTCGTATGGAATCACGCCGTGCTTCTGGGTCTAATTTCCCCAATATAGCTCAATTAGGGGAAGCGATGACTCATGCTTTTCAGAATGTTATCCGCCCTTCTCCTCCTCAAAGAACACCCTTGGAGACCATGTATAATCTGAAATTGGATCGTT